AGTCAACTATCTGTTTATTAGGCATCAAACTGTCTTGAAAGGTTTTTATAAGATGCTCATAAAGCAATCCATCGGTTTGTCTTTAATATGAAGAATTTTATAAAACATATACATCATATATATACAGCATGAGAGTAGGCCTGGCCATCTCGAAGTGATAATAATAATTAAATGTTTCGCAGATTGGCAATTGATCGGTGTAGTTGGTGTTGTACACACTGCACTGATAACGATATCACGTTGAACGTGTAATGTAAATATAGTGTGGATACATGCGAATATATATTCTAAATAACTGATAAACTAAGTAAGTTCAGCTTCTCTTGGTACTATAGTTTATAAATAACAGAAACAGGAAACATTTCAAGTAAAATTCGTCAGACAATGTGCTCAATAACTCTTCAACTTGGCTCATATTTAACATTATATAATATTTGACCAAAACCCATAATTATGGGTAGAGTGGACACTGACAGCGCTCCACTCTACCCATAATTATGGGTTTTGGTCAAATATCATCTCTTTTTGATTATAAATATAATGTAAGGGTACTTTACAAAGCCGAAATGTAAACTCATAACTTCATTAATATTATTAAAGAGGTGATTTCACGATTTCGGAATTTAACCTTTGAAAACATTTCCTTGCGTTTAGGTAGGCATATCTGTTGATAACTGACTGAATATGACACTTTTTACTCAATCAAGTCGATATTAAATTCATATATATAATGCCATTTAAATGTCGTGGGAAAGAATTTATTCGAAATAAGAAATGAGAAAAATTCTCACCTTTCGCACGTGCAAACTTTGAGCGGACGTTGCGTGCGCATCCAATATCAAATCACCGTAAAATTTTGCATCTTCGTATTTTATATCTAGTTTAATAAGTGTGGAAAGTTTCAGAATATTTCAGGAAGAACTCTTATCACAACGGGACTCCAAAGCTGATAAAAATAGTGAAAATACCAATTTTCAGTGATTTTAGCAATTTTCTATCATTTTGGGCGTGTCCTCACGTGTGCAACTTTTTTATTTTCAACTTTAAAACTAGCCTATGACACAATTTAGACCTTTAGGAAGCAAAATTGAGCTTCACAACCCAAGGGATGGCTCAACACCAGAGAATACTAGAACGTAAAATTAGCGTTTTTATAAAATTATTCTTTAAAAAAGCATAAACTTCAATAGCGAATATCTTTATGAAGGAGCAAGCTAGAAAAACTTTCAAAATCAATCAGTATCACATTTTAATGTGCTTATCGGAGTAAATAAACACTAGTTTTTCAGCAAGCTGAGGCTTCAGCCTCAGCCTTCTTTTATTCTTCTTTTATTCATAAGATATTCGTAGTCTCTAAAGTTTGTTTCACACAATGGGGATGCGCTCAAAATGCGCTCCGATCTACGCCGGATAACCCCTTCATATATCACGGTCCCGCATCAGGGTTCACAGTTCCTCTTTAGATATTGTCTCAACTTCCGTCAGTAATCAGTAATAAACAAATAGCATTGTTGTGCTTTACCGTCTAAAGGTTCCTATAACATAAGAATAAATAATTCATAACTTTTTATGAGTGGTTAACTTTATTCAATAAAGTCAACTATCTGTTTATTAGGCATCAAACTGTCTTGAAAGGTTTTTATAAGATGCTCATAAAGCAATCCATCGGTTTGTCTTTAATATGAAGAATTTTATAAAACATATACATCATACATAATACATCATCTGACTGTCTAATATTTTACAAGTAAACTAAGTAAGTTCAGCTTCTCTATAGTTTATTAATAACAGAAACAGGAAACATTTCAAGTAAAAGTCTTTAGACAATGTGTTCAATAACTCTTCAACTTGGCTCATATTTAACATTATATAATATCTATATATAAATGGAATATAAATAGCATGGAGCTATGTTGTAAAGGGATATTAATATAAGGCGAGAGTCAAGACGATATATAAAATGTATATACATAATGATTAGTTGTTGCTTGGTGTCCCAAAGAGTACTCAACTGCAATGAAGCAGGAGCATTTATCACAATGCTGGCAAGCATTACCGTCGCCCTTATATTCACAATACTATTTACCCCATATACTAGTATATCCCCTTTATTGTTTTCCAGGCATTAAGACTCATCGAAAGTAGTTCAGCAGGTATATTTAAGTTCAAAACATTCTAATTCAATGTTAAAGATGACAGGAATAAGAAATAGTTATGTGGAGGTTTTTAAGAAATTTGAGCAAAATACGCGCCAGCATGTTATACGAAATTAGGTAAAAAACCCAAAATCGCCATATTCAGGTGCCTTAAAAACCATGTTAAAATTGAGTTAGAGATCTGAAACTTTGCAGGGCGTCTAGACCTTGTCCAAATCGACTGTAAAAAAAATTTCATGTTTCAGGAGTATTGGGAAGTGGGTTTTCTGGAACCCCTGTTTTACAACAGATTGTCGTGAAGTATATATATATATATATATATATATATATAGACGCTTTTGCAGTCAATTGTAGCCTACATTTAAGTGTCCGTAGATTCAAAAGTATAAAAGATACAGTCATTTCGAACCACAGGTTTTAAAGATAATTGTTTATACTTTAGTTTACATTATATCAAAAAATAATTTATCTTCATCATCATCACTTGATGACGTCATCAAATTAAGTGTTTTTAAACTTGATTTTTGACAAAGTAACAACTTTTCAAATCGATTTTAAACCATTAAGGAGTAATTTTATTCAAAATCTGAGATCATTTTCTCCTTAGATAATTGTTCAAGCATTCTGAAAATCTACCGAAAAAGTTTCTTACTTTGCTCCTTCATAAAGATATTCGCTATTGAAGTAAGTGCTTTTTTGAAGAATAATTTTATAAAAACACAAAAGTTGTGAATTAGTATTCTCTGGTGTTGGGCCATCCCTTGGGTTGTGGAGCTCAATTTTGCTTTTTAAAGGTCTAAATTGTGTTATAGGCTAGTTTTAAAGTTGAAAATCAAAAAGTTGCACACGTGGGGACACGCCCAATTTGATAGAAAATTGCTAAAATTACTGAAAATTGCTGTTTTCACCATTTTTATCAACTTTGGAGTCCCGTTGTGATCCAAGTTCTATATGAAATCTTCTGAAACTTTGCATGCTTATTAAACTATACATAAAATACTGCTACGCAAAAATTTACGGTGATTAAATATTGTATCCGCACGCAACGTCCGCTCAAAGTTTGCACGTGCGAAAGGTGAGAATTTTGCTCATTCGTGATTTCGAATAAATTCTGCTTTCCCACGATATTTAAATGGCATTATATATGAATTTAATGCCAACTTGAATGAGTAAAAAGTGCCATATTCAGTCAGGTAAAATTTCGAAATCGATGAAATTACCTCCTAATTATTAATATAAATATTAATGAAGTTATGAGTTTACATTTCGGCTTTGTAAATTATCCTGACATTATAATCAAAAAGAGATGATATTTGACCAAAACCCATAATCATGGGTAGAGTGTACCGCTGCCAGTGTCTCTCTTTTCCAAACAAAAGGAAATGATATTAATTTGAATAACCGTCCGAAAATGCAAATTGATACCGAGAATGAAATCGGTCGCTCGCTTTTTCCAATCAATAAGCTTTATATTACAATTCGTTAGCCGTGATCGAATGGAAAAAGCGAGCGACCGATTTCATTCTCGGTATCAATTTGCATTTTCGGACGGTTATTCAAATTAATATCATTTCCTTTTGTTTGGAAAAGAGAGACACTGGCAGCGGTACACTCTACCCATGATTATGGGTTTTGCTCAAATATTTCAAACGAAGAGAAACACTCAAATTGGCGGACAAACGATCAGTTTCATGATATGTAGAAAACAATACCAATCCTCAGTGCCAAATAAGAATAATGAATTTAAGAGATATGATGCTCCTTAATAAAATACTTTTTATCGATTTAAATTATGGTCAAGTGACAGGATATAAAACATTTTCAAAATTTCCAAAAACTTCAAAACATTGTTGATTGTTCTCGTCCAAATTTTAGAATTGTCTGTGAAGTAGGATATCTTTTGTTTTAAAAGTTGTTAAGTGCGTTGGCCTTCGTGAAGTTCGCCTGCAATGTAGTTATCAAGGAAATCAAGACTACTGAACAGTTAGGTGGACGGTAGAGCACGCAGATAATAGATTTTGTCAGTTCACATTTGCAGATAAGAGCTTGGCATATTTGTTCATCATATGTTTCAACATGAGTTATGGGGAGTTGGTCATGTGAATAGAGTAGAACTCCCCCGCCAACCCTAGCGTTTCTATCACTTCTGAACAGTGAATATCCAGGAATTTCAAGTTGTGCATCTTCAATATAAGAATATAGCCTATAGGACTTCAGCCAGGTCTCTATTAGGACAACAAATGGGACACAATGATGTTTTGCGTGTTCTTCGGCGAGTTGTTGGGCTAGATATGAGACCTTCCACTTAGATGTACTTGAAGCGCTAGGGTTGAAAGATTGTACATTTAACAGCCAGACACGGGAAGTTGATGCCAGTTCGTTGTCTGCTGGATCGGGTGCGGCTGTTGGTGATGATGAGGGGGAAGGTATTGATGAAATGTTGGTGGCATGTGACCTGGGGGATGTTGGGGAAGAACTGTTTGATCACATGATGTTGACTGAGGCTCGGAACAATTGATGTAAGTTTGCTCTCTTGACTCGCTAATTCGCTAATTCGCTAGTTCATAATTATATTTAAGTTTAAAGTGGTTTTTTAGGCACCTAAATATAGGACGATTTTGGGGTTTGTATTGCGAGTGTATAATCTTGCAAGTACAATGAGTATTAAAAATAGCAGTATACAAATAGCAATGTTAAATGTTTATAAAAGTCTCCCTCAGAATCAATTTTCATGATTCCAACCACCTATAAACTTATAAATAATGGACCATCGCAGTGAAACATAATTATTTACTAATATTATTTGATATTGATAACGTTTAAGCGCCGGTTCAAACTTACAAGATGAAGGTATTCCTGCTTTTCCTAGTCACCGCTGCTGTTCTGTACTCCGCTACTGCAACTGAAGGTAAGAAAATATGAACATAAATTTTTTATTCAATTGGAATTAATGTCGTTGGTAAAATGTAAATTGTGTATCATTATAATGTAGCATATACATTATTTTAAAATAATTTCTTATTTCAGAAGCTGAAAACCCACACCACCGACACCACCCACATCCACACCCACACCCACACCCACATCCACACCCACACCGCGGAAACCCACGTGCTGCTGCTAAGAGGGCTGCTGCTAAAAAGGCTGCTGCTCTTAAAAAGAAACGTGCTGCTGCTAAGAGGGCTGCTGCTAAGAGGGCTGCTGCTAAAAAAGCTGCTGCTCTTAAAAGGAAACGTGCTGCTGCTAAGAAGGCTGCTGCTAAAAGGGCTGCTGCTAAGAGGGCTGCTGCTCTTAAAAGGAAACGTGCTGCTGCTAAAAGGGCTGCTGCTCTTAAAAGGAAACGTGCTGCTGCTAAAAGGGCTGCTGCTAAGAGGGCTGCTGCTAAGAGGACTGCTGCTAAGAGAGCTGCTGCTAAGAGGGCTGCTGCCGCTAGGGCCCGCCGTCACCACCCACACCCACACCCACACCCACACCCACACCCACACCCACACCACCACCACGGACACCGAGGACACCCCGGACAGTAAGAACAGTAAGAACATAACGAAACTACAAAGGACAAGACAACGACTGAGGATAACAACACTCTACCGTTGTACTTTACTCGAGATGATGGAACACTTACATTTTCATTTATAAACTTTTTGTGGCATATCTGTATGTTTATACTTATAGTCATTTGAGATTGTGAAGTAAGCTGTTCAAACATTATGCATTAACTATTTTGTGTCTTACTTGTCATTTTCGCCCTTGAATTTAGCCATAATCCAATTAATAATATCATATGATCACACAGCGTTATTAATTTTGTTTATGAACCACCGCAAAAGTGATGGTAAACTTTGATCACACGCATTTTTAGATCGGAACAATAAAAAACATGTTATTGATTGCAGTCGTATTTTGGAAGGTTTTAATACTTTCAACACCAAAGATCTATCCATAAGCGCACTCAAAACACAAATAGTCATGTTTACCTGGAATAAGAAATGGACACTATGGTGGTGGGTAACACCACTATAGGTCTATCCAAATCTGCCAAATTCCTAGGAGTGACCCTCGACAGCAAGCTCAATTTCAATGAACATATCACCAATACCACCAAAAAAGCTACGGCATCCCTTATGCAATGTAGAAGAGCTGTCGGCCCCACTTGGGGTATGAGCCCCAAAACATGCAAATGGATGTATACTTTATATCATACTTTTCCTGAGAGGTGAAGCAGCAAAGGGCACTGCCAGGCTTCAAGCCTATGGTAGCCTAACCCTCGAATCTATCGCCCCCAGAAAAGGTACCATCACAACTCCCACCACTATCAACAAACAATTCATGGTAGACCTCAACAGTCAACATACCACCCAAAGAAGAGAGAGACCTATTTATACCAACCATGATGCTTGAACGACGCTTCACGGTCACCACTCCTGGAGCTGACAACATTGAATATAGAGGCTCACTTTAAAACACCATCGACAAAATCCCCAGTGAAACGGTCACCTGCTACACAGACGGGTCACGCACAGACTCAGGTAGCGGGGCTGGTTATATTATCACCACTGACAACAACAACACTACACTAGAGGAAAGATCATTCAAGCTTCCCGATTATTGCACCGTTTATCAAACAGAACTCACCGCCATCATCGAAGCTTGTAAATATCTATCTACTTATACCAACACACACATCATCATATGGTCAGACAGTCTCTCCTCTATTCAAGCTATATCCTCACCCTCAACGAGGAGTAGCACTGCTAGAGACTGTTACGACACCCTCAATACACTCGGATCCACTAACACCTTAGAGATTAGATGGATAGCAGCACACATCGGATTGTGGGGTAATGAAAAAGCAGACGAGCTGGCCAAAAACGGCACAACCAGTAAATCCACTTTGAAGTGCCCAATTCCACAATCTTACATCAAACGCCTTATCGACGACAAAGTCACCAAAGCTTAATCAAGAATCATGGATTACTGATGGTCCCAGACACACTAAACTAACACTTGGACACAAAAACATCAACATCATCAAAAATCTCAACACTACACTCAGTAACAACAGACAAAATTACAGAACTGCAGTGCACCTCATCACGGGCCATTGTGGCCTCAACAAACACCTACACACCATTCGCAAATCAGACACAAGTGGTTGTCCTAAATGCGGCGACGAAGAGGAGACTGTCTCACACTTTCTCGCACAGTGCCCGGCTATTGCCCAAATAAGAGGTCAATATTTCCGGGACTATACTACCTCTCTGTCAATGACATATTCGACAACCAACACATCTCCACCATTGTCAACTTTGCAAACCACACTAAACGCTTAATGGTGCCAGAGGAGTTGGACCATACCGGTGTAACATAGCGACTACTCAAACACCGTCTTATTTTGCCTCTCTCTTACACACTCAACCAACACTTAAGCGTTCATCTATGACACACCCCACAACACTTACCATCATCCCAAAGAGGGGGGGGGGGGGGGGGGGGGGCAAAAGTCAGTGTACATACGTTTGCTCTTATATAATTATAACCACGGCCGTGATTTATATTTGAGACTTGTTTCTTTGCAGATGACATACCGTACTTTAACTTAAACGAATTCGAGGATTCTTTCGCCAAAATTTGAAAATTCGAATATTTTAGACCACATCCATTCAATACTAAATCACCTATATTGTTTTTTCCAAACATGCTGGACGCCCCATTTTTCACAATAATGTAGATCTTAATTGATGCATCTGATCTGAAAAAACAAATGATGCGAAACGGATTTGAAATAACAAAGTTATCAAGCATTTTGTTAATCTTGATCTGATTATGTTACCCCTGGGGTTAAGTACTAATTGATTCCTGCTTACTCTCCCGCTAGTTTTTGGATTTCATCTGGTTCAGTGTTAGAGTAATCTTCTTCAAAGTCGAAGTTGTTGTTTCCAGTACGAGCATTCAGGTCGCCCACTAGCAAGATCTTGCCAAGATCGGGGTTTTGAGCTTTAAAGTCAAGGAGGTGCTCTAAAGTTGTCATGTAAGGGGATCCATTTCTAGCCTTGCGTTTTGATTTGTACGACGACTGCTCTGGTGAGTCGTAGACATTGATGATGGTGAACCTGTTTTCCATATCATTGGGATAGAAAGTAATAGCTTGGAGGTCATCAGGTCAGGGCAATTTGTTTTGACTAGCTTTACTTGTTTTGAAATTGAGCGATGTACCCCGATACAAATTCCACCAGATCGAGAGGCTTTTCTTGTGCTGTTGAAGCACTCTTAGTTGGGGAGAAAAAAGTCCTGTTTGGTTTCTTGCAGGCAAAGACACTGCTTTGTGCCAGGATTTTTACAAAGTCACTGTATTCCATTTTGGGCCATACAAGTTTTTTGTAGTTTGCAATGAGGTCTTTTGGGGTGATTTTGTTTTTATTCAACCCTGTCCAGCATTGTCCTCTGTTATGGCTGCACAGCCGAATTGAGGGTTGGTTCCATTCGTTGTTCCACGTGGCATTGGGTTCATTTTGATAGTGACATTGACTTTTTCTGGGTCTGGCATCTAAGTCTCAGTAGATAGAAGTTGATTGACATGGTGGTATGTTCCCGGGCCATAGTTGATGGGGAATTTTAATTGTTAATGAAGACCCTACTAAGCCATTACTGGTGAAGCAGTGCTATCATGTCCATCTCGATGTTGGATCGTCAGAAACTACAACCTGGTTTGAGGTCGATGATAGCGACTTCAAGGCACTTTTTAAAGTGATATGTGCTACAAAGTATAGTAACGACACAACAAAATGCTGTAACTTTGTACACACTGGCAACTTGGAGTCATTCCACAACTTAAAATTGATGTATCTGCCCAAATCAACTGGTTTCACGATGACAACGACCATTATCATGACCATGTTGACTGCGATACAAAGCAGAGTGTACCTTGAGCAGAAGAACTCTGCCAAGGTACACCACTTAGCACAGTGGTCTCGTGCCAGCAAGAAGCACGTGGAAAAGAAGAGGACAGAGTATGACGCTGTCTCCTTCAAGAAGACCATCATCGGCGAGGTCAACAGCAACCTCATCTCTAATGCTGTACTGGACATGGACCTGACACCTTCTTCTTCGTAGGGGGCTGTGGTCAATATCACTAATGGTAAGATCGTGACCACTGTAAGATAGAGCATTGGAGCCCTGTGCTTACCCCGGTAAAATTAATAAATCAAGAAAAAAAAATGTTTAGATTTTGTTTTCTTTGCATTTAGTAAATCGTTTAGTTGCTTGTATGAAGCCGATGATCCTTGGTAGTGAGAATTTGTCCACTATGTCTGTCACGCTAAGATAAAATGAGTCAAAGTATCCTCCTCGTTGGTAAGACCATTTCGGGCACTGGCCAATAAAGTGGTTCATAGTCTCCTCCTCCATGAGACAGTGTGGACAAATTTTGGGGACCGTTGTCGGCTTGAACTTATTAATGGGGTAGTTTAGTTCACAATGTCCAGTAAGGAATTGTGTTGCTGTTCTTGTGCTCTCTTTGCCAAGTTTCGGGATTGATCTGGCGAACTTATGTCTCCATACTCGTTTGAAGTGAGTGTTGGGCAACGTTCTCCATCTTTCCCTCATTTTCCGATGACTTATACTCCGCAGCGCTCCCTTCCATAATACCTTTGGCATTGGTAGTTGCACATGAGCGGAGTCCAAGTTATCGGAGCCTTTTTTGGCAAGAGAGTCTGCCTTTTCGTTACCATCATAGCCTTTATGAGCTGGAATCCATCGTAGTAGGACTTGATTGTCCGTTGCTAGTTGGTTCAGCTCACTTATTGCCATGCTGGTGCTTTTTGATTTGACTTAGATATTGCTCATTGCCATTATTGTGTGAACAATTTTTCGGGAAACTCTACGGTGTGAGACTCTACGGCGTGAGACTTTACGACGTGAGAGTAATTGTCATATTTTCGATAAAAACATATCTTATTCTTATATTTAACTAGGATGCCTGTGGTCACAGAGAGTGTTCTTTGAAAGTCAGTTTGTACTTTGTATCACATAAAGGTTCATAAAGGTTGGGAGGCTATAGTTGTAAATGCCTCAAGCTCCCAGTTCTACTGTCTGGAGCTTGCAAGCCCATCCGTTGGCTTCTATCTCTTCTGTCAGCTGCTGATATCTCTTCATCTTTCGCTTCTCTTGATCAGCAAAGTTCTGCTCATTTCCACAAGTTAGCGCCATTAGATAAACCTTCTTTGCTTTATCTGAACTAGCAGGAACCCGTATAACCCTAAAATAGTGTCAAGACTCAAGAGACTAAATAATTATTACCTATTTAATTCGCGTTTTTGACACCACTTGGGGGTTCAAGTTTTGGGCTCTAAAACTCCTATTCCTTGGCCAATTTTTTATTTTTTCATGCTGATTTGGAGGCCATTAAAGCATTTGACCCAGTCAAAAAAGTATCAGTTGTATATCTTTTACGGTTTTTGCGGAAAGTCGCGTTAAAGTTGATGCCGTGGTGTCAGTAAAATGGTACGGATAAACACATCCATATATA